GAAGGTCAAAACCTATGTAGAATAGTATTTAATACTGTATATATAGCAGAAATAGGACGTTATTTTTGAAACTTCTTTTGTTAATATCTTTTTGACAACATATGTCAAGGTCAAGAAGATCGGAGCTGCTTCCCTATTCCGAAGATTTACCATGACTTATAATAAACATGTTGTTTTTTTATATAAATACTTAATAGTGTTCAAAAATATAAAATATGATATCTTAACATAATATAATTCCAATAATTATGACTATAACATAATTTAAAAAAAGAACTATATGATATCTATATTATAGTCAAAATATTATATTATATTATATTATATATTTGTATATTGTTTGAAAGTATAACAGTTTCCAAATTATACAGGGTGTTTGATAATTAGTGAAACATATTCCGTATAGGGGGTAGAATGGACTAAACTGAGAAGAAAAGTCCTGTACTATTTTACAATTGTCACAGTAGTTAACGAGATATTAATTTATAAAAATATCTAAATTCGCTCGGCCCACCATCAAATGCAAGCGCGCGGCTGAATAGGACCGCCTGCAAAGCGCGTCGCGTGCGTTCGCCGTCGCTACGCGATTCATGTCTAGCGAGGACTATTGCCGCTTGTTATAAACAACGCCTAGCAACGGCGAACGCGCGCGGCGCGCTTCGTTGGGTGGTCCTATCCAGCCGCGCGCTTCCATTTGACGGTGAGCCGGGCGAATTAAAAAACTTTTTAAATCTCAGAAAGTGTAAAGCCTAATCGAGTCTTGAAAACAAGATGTTAATGTTTATTATATTATGTGAATTTATATACGTATGTAGTCCCCCCCGCGACGCTGATAGATTTTCAGTCTTGACGCATACATATTCACTACCGCAGTAATATCATTTAGTTAAATTGAGAATCAATCTAACCAATTTTTGATGCCTGTAGCATCTTATTAGATCTTAATAATATGTTGAAAGACATATATTAAAATTTAATATTAAAGTAATAATTTAAAGATTGCGAAGAATATCACAAGTTGGCGTTTCGTCCCGGCTTCCACTACTGGACTCATCAGTAAGGTAATGGAGTGGGAGCCTACATTAGACGCCTGGGAAGATGTTAGAAAGAAGTTCTATATAAACAAATAATCATGTAATTCAGCCCTTGCGAGAAATGGCATGAGTAACTATAGACCTCTGTTGGCTAGTCGACGAAGTGATATTCTTCACGTTGTTCTTAATATTTTAAATAAGTAATTAAAGCGCATTTTTCAGGCTGCGCGATATAAATATCATGAAAGATAATACTAAATTGACTCGTATGATTTAAAAATCTCAGAAAGTGTAAAACCTAATCAAGTCTTGAAAACAAGATGTTAATGTTTATTATATTATGTGAATTTATATACTGCGTATGTATGAAAATCAATCAGCGTCGCGGGGGGGACTACATACGCAGTATATAAATTCACATAATATAATAAAACATTAACATCTTGTTTTCAAGACTCGATTAGGCTTTACACTTTCTGAGATTTTTAAATCATACGAGTCAATTTAGTATTATCTTTCATGATATTTAAATATTTTTATAAATTAATATCTTGTTAACTATTGTGACAATTGTAAAATGGTACAGGATTTTTCTTCTCAGTTTAGTCCATTCTACCTACTGTACGGAATATGTTTCACTAATTATCAAACACCCTGTAGAAAGTAAATCATAAGAGAAAAGAAATTAAGAGAAATCTAAAATATATACCTTAAAATTTTTCCCTGGTCCAGGTGTTATTTTTTTCTGTATTCCAGCCAATTTTAACCTAAAATAAAAATAAAATGTTCATAATCAATGAAGAGATAAGCCATATTACAAATGGCCTTTGAGCAAGAAATATTGGAGATGATGAGAGGAACTAATTTAAAAATATGTAAGTACTAATTTAATAAAGGTAAACCAAAGTTTCTCATATCTATCTAACAATGGAAATATCTGTCTTTTCTCACATGTGTATCATAATAATGTTCTTTATGTAAAATAAGTTTATCTTGTTTATCAATCAATTTTGTTTCAAAATGTCTTAACTCAAATCCTTAAAGTTGTCATTCTAGATTACCAGCAAAATACATTCTTTATTTCAAAATTTAGTAAAGCTAATATGATACAATTATAGAATATCACAAAGGTATACTTAAAAATGACTATAATCTTGGGTAAATGTTAAGAACTCACTCACCTCAAATTTTGATAAAAAATACACTCATTCGACACATTTTTATATGAAATAAATAAATGTGTCAGAAAAAAAATGTTGCTTTGTCTTGTAAACAGAGATATTAAGCGTTAAACTTGACGACTACTCAGGTTAGGAAATTTGTCATAGCTGCGAAATACTGTGCTATGAGCATGTACTGCGATTATATTTTCATGCTCTATAGTCATGTGTGCATGTGTTTTAGATACACAAAAAATTAGTGTTTTAAAAACACAAGAAATCAGTGCTTTAAAAATACAAAAGTAATGTTTAAAAAATACAAATTTACTGCTTTAATTACACAAATTCTTTACATTAGCAGTGAATTTGTGTAATTAAAGCAGTAAATTTGTATTTTTTAAATAGTATTTTTGTATTTTTAAAGCACATATTTTTTGACTATTATATGAAATTATTATGAGACCATTATATGAAAATATAATCGTAGCGCAGTATTTCGCGGCTGTGACAGATTTCCTAACCTGAATAGTCATCAACTTTAACGCTTAATATCTTTCGCGAGGTAAAGCGATACTTTTTTCTGCCAGATTCGTTCATTTCGTACAAAAACGCGTCAAATGAATGTATTTTTATCAAAATTTGAGATGAGCGAGTTCTTCTTACTATTTACCATGTTACAGAATAAAAAAACTCCAACATCCTGTGAACAGCGACAAGCAACTAACAAGTTACAAGTGTTGCATCAAATACCAATGGGTAAACAATTTACTACTCTGCAACTCTACTCCAAGGGGTCAATCACGTACTTTTTCCCCTAGGGTGAAAACGTGAAAGTGAAAATTTTTTGCATGATGTGTGTATATGTTCATACATACAGTCATAAAAGTTTTCACTTTTCACGTTTCCACCTTAGAGAAAAAATTACGTGATTGATCCCCAGGTAGACCCAGAGAGATGAGGAAGACTTGAAAAAAAGAATTAAAGCATAGACATCCCGCGACTGAGAAACTCTGGCGGAACTTGCAATTCACTGTTGCTGAATGTTTCTACAAACCTGTTCAAATTCTCGTACTCGCGCTGTCTCTCGGGCAAGCTAGATTCAGAAGCTCTCGACGGCGCGGTCGTTGCCTTAAGCCTCCGAACGTACAAATTCCTCTCATCACCCCCAGGGGCCGCCTTCTTTGGCGTCTTACCCATGGCCACGACAGCGATTTAGCGGCGTGCCTATTAGTCGCGCCCAATTAAACTCCACACCCTTTATTTTGTTTTATATGATCTTACGTGATCTTACTTGCGTGCAAACAATCCAATGTGAGGTCCTCTACTTGGAATACGAGAAGTTAATCTTGTTTTTGCTATATCGTTCTCACACACACACACACACACACACACACACACTATCTCTCTCTCTCACACACACACACCACACGCACAACTCACACGCTCTCTTTCTCTCTTTTCCTCTTCTACAGCAAGACCCGCTAGCTGCCTCGCTGCCTCTAGACTGCTCTCAACTGCTCCGCTCACAAATATTAATAGTCGCCCTTTCTTACTCTCGTCGCGGCCAATTACTCGCGACGTGGATCTCGCCGTATGAATGTAGTATTGCCGGTAACTCGTTCTCGTGCACGAACAGCTCCGTTGAGTTCAAGCGGACGTACATACTACGTAGATGCCATTATAAGAGTTGCCAACATTTTTGAATTTCTACCTAGATATCCAGAGAAGCGCAACCGGCTTAAGTCAGTATCGCAAACAAGAAGACTAGAACATAAGGGCTGCATTCGTGTCTTAAGCTCATTCTACATTGATCGTATCGTAGGCGTCGCAGGTCACAAATTTGTTGCAACAGCCAATCCGATGTGTCAATTAGAAGTCTTACGACGCTTACAATGCTACGATACGACCAATGTAGAATGGGCTTTAAGGCCGATATTCATAGTCGGTTCTTATATTTAATGGGCCTTCTACAATAAGCCGTAAGTTACAAATCATAAGTCATAAACTAGAATTGGACCAATCACAGTCGTCAATTTTTAGTTACTTACTTCCGATTTATGACTTATGGCTTATTGTAGAAAGCCCATAAGACAGACTTAAGTAACGTCTTAATATGCCCTCTAGATTCAAGGTGAAGTCCCATGGAGGCAGCGTACGGCGTACCGGCGTACGGCGTAAAGGAACTAGGCCAATCACAGGCTTTACGCCCGTTTTCGTTACGCCAGCACAAACATCGAGTGTCCCATGGAGCATATTTACGCCGGCGTAATGATCAATAAGCCAATCACAAGATCCCTTGAATATCCATTTTGGAAATAAGCTTTGTAAAACGGCATGTAATTGGCTTATTGATCATTACGCCGGCGTAAATACATCCCATGGGACAGTCGATGAAATTTTAAGCGTGACGTGTTTTAACATGTATCATATGTATATACAATCACATGAAGTGAAAACAAATGTACATACATAATAGCAATTAAAATGTTAGACTCTGAAATAACGTTAATTTATTTAATAAAATACTTGAGAACTTATAAATGCTCGGAAAGTACTTTGTGTAAAGAAACTGTTCGACGAAAATTAGTTCAAATGTATATTATATATGAATTAATGAGAGCTGAAGAGAAGAAAAGAGATTCGGCAATTAGACACAATGCTCGAAAATTTTGGGTTAGACCAATTTTTACTAGTGAAAGACGAGTAGCACAAGGGGCTAGCAATAATCTGGTACAAGAAATGATTTTCGAAGATAGAGAAAAATTTATCAATTATTTTCGAATAACACCAGAAACATTTGAAAAACTGTTGCAGATTGTTTCACCACGTATACAGAAACAATTTCTTATTCGTGAGCCAATTTCTGCTCGCATTCGCCTTCAAATCTGCTTGCGATATTTAACTTCAGGAGATAGCATGGTATCTATATCATACGCATTTCGTGTAGCACATAATACAGTGTCAACAGTGGCGTAACTGAGTGTATGTGCGCCCCCCGCAAAATTTTTCAGGCGCCCTTGGTCCACGTCTCAATACTTCACATTTTCATCTTGGCAAAAAGTAAAAAAGTTTTATAACTCACAACTTTCTTTACCATTTTTTATTAACTATGTCTCTTAAATATTGTAAAATCAATTTCATTTTGTTACAGTTAAGAGGTAAAAATAAATCTATAAAAAATAGAGTTAAAATGCGCATGAAGGGAGGCTAGGATAAGGTAAATATTACAGATTCGATACGTTAAAATTGTACATTTATGCATACGTATGATTATATGATACAAGGTTAAATCATGTAGATATATGGAAATATAAATATTACGTGATTTAATTAAATTTGCAGAAATTTGCAGTTTAAAGCAAATCTAATATATTACAAACTCAGCAATCCGCAACGATTTTTAGCTTTAGCAAACTCATTGACCACCTGATCCAAATCGAGTTTACTCGCCAATTCATGTTCTATGCTTAAAATTGCAAGCCCACTTAAACGTGATTGAGACATCTCACTAAAATGTGACTAGATCCAAAATCTGTTTAATCGCTGACAGTTTTTATATAGATTTCCCGTGAAAAAAAAATTTATATATTCTAAATAAAAGTCTTATAAGTTCTTTATAAAGATTCATCAAAATTCATATAAAGAATTTATAAAGTCTTTATATAACCTTATAAATAAATATATATTTTTAATATAGTTTATATTATAAACTTATTTAAATTTAATAAGTTCTTATTAAATTTTAATTAAAGTCCAATTTATATAATTTAATTAAATCTTAATAAGATTTAAATAAGTTGAATTAATATGTTTTAATATGGTCTTAATAAGTTTTAATAAGTT